AGAGTTTATCATTGTTTTATGCCATTAATCTTTATACGAGACTCGTTTTTCTTCTTTTCCGCAGACGGACAGAGAGTTTATCATTGTTTTATGCCATTAATCTTTATACGAGACTCGTTTTTCTTCTTTTCCGCAGACGGACAGAGAGTTTATCATTGTTTTATGCCATTAATCTTTATACGAGACTCGTTTTTCTTCTTTTCCGCAGACGGACAGAGAGTTTATCATTGTTTTACGCCATTAATCTTTATACGAGACTCGTTTTTCTTCTTTTCCGCAGACGGACAGAGATAATCCTAAAATCAATGCGATCTACGTGAAGAAGGGGACTAAAGAAGGTGAGTTGCAATTCTCGTCTTGGCGCTGATTATTTTGAGTGCATGTACGTCCTTCGTTACCACGGTAACATTAAATCCACGGCCAATGGCGATTAATAAGTCAGGTGCACGCGGGATGAGTTGTAGTTTGTTGCCATGGCGTCGTTCGTTGCCATGGCGTCGTTCGTTGCCATGGCGTCGATCGTTGCCGACTTCCTCGTTAATCGTTAATTAGTTTGCCGGATTCTATGATATTGCGACGAGTTCTTTTTATTTTGAGACGAATTTAAATGTATCAACAGTTTCGACAGTTGGCACAGTCCCCTCTGTGTTCTGCTCTTGTCACCTGCTGCCACCTGGTGGCAAGCTCAAGCACCTTCGTTCCGTCTCGACATAGATGGCTAGGTCCATTGTTGAAACCTTTGCTAACGTGTCAAAATAGTTGGAATTATATTCGAATATAGTCACTCTCGATTCCCCTGTCGTCACTCGTTGCCATGGCGATGATCATCCACGAGTCCCTTCTCGTCACTTGTTGCCGTGGCAATGATCATGCTCTACTCCCTTCTCGTCACTCGTTGCCGTGGTGACGATCGTCCTCGACTCCCTTCTCATCACTCATTGCCGTGGCGACGATCGTCGCCCGACTCCCTCGTTGCTTACAGACGTCCCCAAGCTGCCCGAGTGGCCGACATCGTCCGAGTTTGAAACCGACGAGGAGGAGGAGGAGCACGACGACGACGACGACGACGACGACGAGGAAGAAGAGGAGGAGGAGGCGCGGCCGAAGGCGGACAGCAAGCAGAAGGCGAAGAAGAGGAAGCCGTCGGGACCGAAGCTCGCCGACCCGTACGCGACGACGGACACGCACACGATGCTGCCGATCTTCATTGCCGTCGGATGCTTCATACCGCTCCTCTTCTTCCTCTGCAAGCTCTGATGCGAGCGAGCGAGCGAGCGGCGCCGCCTGGCGGGATAGACGCGGGAGTGCGGCGCCCCCTGGCGGGTTAGAGGGAGTGCGGTGGCGGAGAGAGAGTGAACGGACTGCGCGAGCGAGCGGTGTGTTCGACGGTGGGTGAGCGCGTAGTGGGTCGCTGGTTGTGCTGCTGCTTCTGCTGCTGCTGCTGCTGCTGCTGCTGCTGCTGCTGCTACTGCTGCTGCTGCTGCTGCTGCAAAAGCTTGGAGACTAGCGTTCCGAGTTGTCGAAACGTGGATGTGCCGTATAAAGTAATACAAGCAAATTTAATCACCAACTTGAACTTCTTTGATATGTCTTTTTTATTGTTTGTGTATAGGCAAACTATGTAATGCACATCTTCGCAGATACCGTTGATTGTGATCTGCGCGAATGTGTTTTGGGTATGAAATCCATTTAACATCCACTGTCCAGTGTACCCAGCGATTAGTATGGTGATTCATAATATACTCCATGAGTTATTATTCGTGGTATATCGCTGTAGCCAAAGTTCTAGCCAGTCTCTTAGATCCGTACGTAGCCACTGCAGTGTATAGATGCATGAGTTGTGTATTGTGATGTGCATAGTCGTCATATCAGTCGAGAATAATGTGTGTTTTGTGTGTGTGCGTGCACCTGTAAACGTTCGTTCATGCACATCGCAGTTAATCATAGCTTTATATAAGGTTCATGCACAACACGTTCTACAAAGGCTTATATATCGTTTCATTGTTGTTTCACATGTGATGTGTTTTTTCTGTATATTGTGGGCAATTTACATGAGCTGTGAGGTCTTGGAAGTAAAGTTAATAAAGATGAATTTTACTTAATATTGACAATCTAAAGACAGTGAATATTCAATTGAATTATTTTTTTATTTCTAAGAGAATCTGCCTACTCTAGTTCTTATTGAGGTAATATACATATCACGATTTATAAAATTAACTAAAATCTTTGTAAGTCGTCAATATAATCCTATTTGCACGTGTGACATTTCGGACATGATTTTAAACAGAATTTTTCATAGAATGTATTGGAAAAATCAACTCGTCTAGCATATTGACATCGTCGCGCCATCTAACGGGGATAATAATTTATAAAGGTGCATTGTGTGGCGCTAACATTTGGTTGAATGTTGGAGTGCGTGGCTGTGCATGCACGCATGCGAGCACACACACACTCGTGCACACGATAAAGGAGATTGCTACATAGCATTGGCAAGGAGCAGGAAAAGCATATTAGAAAGCTATCAAATATACTAGGTCTAATATAACTTGCGGTTGCGGGTAAGCGCAAGCGCAGCGGCGGCGCTAGTATCGAACGGCGTGTTGCTATGTCAAGTTTGTTGATTATCGCTACCATTCACAAAATAAGCATGCAGTGTAAACCTACAGTACATAATATGTTAACAAGTAAACTATATTTTTAACGGTTTTGTTAGTGTGTTAATGACAAATACCATTTGAATTGTAAGTAATCGTTGAGAGAGTAACACTAGCAAGTATGCATAACGACACCCCACTGTACTGCAAGGAGCAGATAAAAATTCCAGCTGCATTGGCGGACATCATGAAACAATTTACAAAGGCAGCAATTATTACACAACCACAAGACATTCTATCCTGGTCAGCTGAGTAAGTTCCACGGCAAATGTGTTATAAATGTATTAATGCTATGCAGTAATAGTACACGAAAATGTAAGTGTAAACAGTAGTAATAGTATATATAATCCTAATAATATTAATAATATAATAATGCCATGCCCCATTGTCATTGACATTGGTCATTGGTCATGGCCATTGCCATTGGTCATGGTCATTGGTCATGGTCATTGGTCATGGCCATTGCCATTGGTCATGGTCATTGGTCATTGGCCATTGTCATTGTTCAATGCCTGGTGGACATCCCCATGAAAACTATTCTATAGTACTAAGTATAGACTATAGTATAGGCCTATAGTCTATAGTATAGTATATAGTAATAATATAAATATAACGTATGTATAAAATATATATCGAACTTGCAGGTATTTCCAAGCACTTACATCTGGTGACCTGCCACCAGTGAAGCGCAGGCTCGATCAAGCCGAGATGAAAGGCAGGCCCCCAGTGACAAGAGAGCTATTATCGGAATTACATAAGGAGGTGTCTCGCTAAGTTCATTTCTTTTTAATTAACAGTGAAATTGAAACATGAAAATGGCATATAGATAGGGCCGATGAAAGTTGATGTCATGGTTCTCGTCAGCACCCGCATCAAATTTTACTCCCGCACCAAAAAAGTTCAACACTCATCGCTGACGAAATTCCCGCATCAAAAAGTCCCCATATGAAATTCCCGCCTCAAAAAATCAACAATCTACAGTCAGCACTACATGTATGGAAGACAAACAGTAAAAAAATTTGAGTAAAAACTGTCAACAAAGAAGTTATGACATTTTTCAATCATATTTTGCACAATGTATATGTACAAGACCTGATACCCTCACTAAGTTCTATTGGTTTGTATATGAAAGATGAATGTTGATCTAAATCCCTCATCAAAATCTCAACAATGCCTGACGAGAACCATGAAATCAACTTTCATCGGCCTAATACAGTGTCACAGAGAATCACATAATACAGTGGCTAATTGTACAGACTCATTCCATACAAATTAGCTGTCCAGCTGCTATACATACGTGCACACACACGCAATTATTATTTAGAAAGATTAAGTAAAAAAAGCACAAGGATATAATCTCCGTATGTTCAGCATTGCCATAAGAATTCTTCATCGAAGTATGAACCTAGCACACACGCGCTATAAACGCTCTGTTGCAGTTCAATGCCAGGACCACCGTCGACGTCTCCGCGATCAGAGAGAAATGGGAGCGTCTGGGTCTCTCCCCCGATCAGCTGATGGAGTTTGTCACACTGGGGGGTTTCGAGGATGACGTCCCGTGGTTACACTTCCTCGCGCTCGCCTGCAGTTCCGTTACGGAGGTGAGTGTAACAATGTCTCTTTCCCGCACAAACTCGCGCTCCGCGCTCTTGTCGTCAACATATTAGCCAGCGAGCTGTGCAGCCGTGATTTGCACGGTCAGTTTTGAAACTGCAGTGATCGGCAGGCGGTATCTTTGAATTTTATTTTTTCTTGAAACCCTCTAAAAGTGACCGCAGTCGCACATTTTATCACTCCGAAATGTGAAGTGGGGCGGGTGACCCGAACCAAAGGTAATTTTTAGGTCGGCCTAATACAGTGGCTAATTGTACAGACTCATTCCATACAAATTAGCTGTCCAGCTGCTATACATACGTGCACACACACGCAATTATTATTTAGAAAGATTAAGTAAAAAAAGCACAAGGATATAATCTCCGTATGTTTAGCATTGCCATAAGAATTCTTAATCGAAGTATGAACCTAGCACACACGCGCTATAAACGGTCCGTTGCAGTTCAATGCCAGCGCCACCGTCGACGTCTCCACGATTAGAGAGAAATGGGAGCGTCTGGGTCTCTCCCCTGATCAGCTGATGGAATTCGTCACACTGGGGGGTTTCGAGGACGACGTCCCGTGGTTACACTTCCTCGCGCTCGCCTGCAGTTCCGTTACGGAGGTGAGTGTAACAATGTCTCTTTCCCGCACAAACTCGCGCTCCGCGCTCTTGTCGTCAACATATTAGCCAGCGAGCTGTGCAGCCGTGATTTGCACGGTCAGTTTTGAAACTGCAGGGCCAAAAATGTGTAGCACGGCCTAAAATATTACGGCTTAGACACACATACAAAAAAATTGCACTCCCAAATATTTTTTCTGCACTCCCACAATACTCAATCCTGGCTATAATACCCTGCTTGTCGTGTTCGCTGAAATCAGGCGATCTTTTTGCGTTTACTCGTATCTTACTGCGCTATATCGTACTACGGAATGTACTGGCGTTGTTTTGTACTGTATCACTCATAAATTTTATTATTTTAACTGCTCAACACTATTGCATTTATCAGATTATTTCTCTATGAAAAAGACATGTATTTGTATTTGAATTACATGGAATAAAGATTTTATAATAATAATAATCTTACCGCGCTATATCGTACTACTTATCATGCTCTTTCGAGACGATCGAGCGCACTCCCGTTTGCGTTTCCGTCGCACAGGGACTTCTCGAGACGTTGAGACTCGTCTGCGAAATGGCGAGACGGGAAGATGCAGCGGAGGCGTCCGTCTCGTTCGAGATGTTCGAGGAGGTCTACACGTTTCTCGCGACGACGGACGAGAGCATCTCCCGGGAGAGGCTGGAGGGCGCGCTCAAGCATCTCCGCAAAGTCTCGTGAGTTTTCGTCGTTCGCACGTACCTCGAATTGTCGAATTACCGCATTAGCACACTGTGCGGTGTTCACAAAAGGATTACACAGATTCATATACCTTTCAGTATCTTCATTTCTAACGTCCAACATGGAAACTGGCTGCCCCCGGAAACTCTGTTTCATTACTTCCTTTCTCGATAGGTGGCAGCACAAATACAGTAGCCTCAACACATGGGAAACACTTTCCCCCGGGCGTAGATGGACGGTCACGTGATGTGGCTGCACTTGTGTTAGGATTAGGGTTAGGGTCAGGGTTAGGGTTAGGGAAATAAGGCCATGTCTAGCACGGAAGTATGACTGTGGAATGTTTTTGTGGAAGATTTGGACTTTGAAGCATATAGTATGATCTACGCCACCGACGCCATCTTGTCCATCTACGCCCGGAGGAAAGGGACACTCTCAACACATGAGCTGATCTGTGTGATTCATATGCCGAGATTGCGATATATGGCAAAGACATTACATACACCAAATTACGTCAGTTCCAGTGCCCGTCGTCCACTTTTAACTGGTTAGCACGGGGTCGAAATAATTAAACAACTTATGTTCATCTTTATTTGTGATTTAATGATTGTAAGATTAAAGTATTTAACCGTGGCGTTCCGCGTCGTTGCAGTGATGACCAGGGTGGAATGATCAGCCCTAAAGACTTTCTCGGCAATAGCTGTCCTGATCTTGCGTGACGTGGGACGGAGGAGTTGCAATTCGACTGCTCACAGGCACTCACATTCGATTACGTCCTATCCGCACGCGGCTGCCTTGACGACCAACGGTTGCCGTAGCGATTACGCTTTCACTGAATGTTACGGCTCTGTCGAGTGCATGCCATACAAATATAACCATGCAATGCTGGTCACCGAGTTGTGGTGCATTATGCAGTATCTAAATTACACGAAAAGTGTGGTTGTGTGCACGTGAATACTAGGCAACGAATTGGCGGGCACGCTTGAATGGAGTATAATGTGGATCTCACATAAAATAAAATATTTGAACAGTATCATTGTCATTATATATCTGTGTTCGTGAATATACATCGAGTAATGGTATTACATTCGTGTATTAGTGGTATTACATTCTCATGTAATAACCCTTATGAATAAAATGTACTTTTTTTTTTATTGTAATTGGTTTAATGCATTTCGTCACAATAGATGGCACTGTTGTCAATTGAAAGATTTGGGAGTCCGCGGTCACTCGTTGAACGTATTTGGGAGATAGCGAGAGCAAGCGAGAGAGACGGCTAGAGGGACCAAGGAGGGGGTGAAGCGTTGACATAAAAGCTAATTATATGTATATATATATCAATGGTCATGCAGTGTTAAACCATAAGTGCTTGTGTACACGATTTTGCTGTTGTACGTAATAAAAGCTGCTGCAGCGGTCAAGCAAAAAGTCAAATGATCTTTTGAATTAGTTGTTGTACATGGGAAGAGTGTATATATATATATATATTTATGGGTGAAACCACTGAGATGTGGGTAAAACTGGTGGATAGGTGGCAGCACCGTTCAGTTGTTTAATGGCTGCTCACTGTTTGTTAAACTGCTAGCAGAGCTGCTAGTACTGATTCATTGTACTCTGGAATCTGGATTGTTAGAATTTATAATTTTGTAGGTCACTACATTTGTGTGCTTATTACCACCTTTTTTACAGTTAGTAAAAGTAGGGCCCAAGGATAGAGAACATGGGTCCCAATAAAACCAATGCCAATGGCAATGTGAATGTGCCTAACCCTAACCCTAACCCTAATTCTAACCCTAACCTTAACCCTAATTCTAACCCTAACCCTAACAATAACCCTAACCATAACCCTAACCTATTATGTTGATATAATATTATATTTATATTGATGTAAATGACATTGGTTTTATTGGGACCCATGTTCTCTATCCTGAACCAAAAGAAGTACGGGCTAACCTTTTTTCCGTTATTTTTACTGCTAGTACTGGATCTGGATCTGGAGTGGATAGTTTACAGCGTAGCCCACGGTTACGTGGATAATAACGCAGGGAGCCAGTAGCTAGCCATGGGGTGTGACCTAGCAACAGTTGCCGTACGCGGGCTATAGTTACTAGAGCTAGGTGTGACCTAGCTTGGGTTAAAGCCAGGTAGTTAGCCTTTTAGCCGAATGGCACTGAGGGTGGTCACAGCCAGAGTTTTTTTGTGCCCTCAGTGGTTCTTTTAGTTTTACGTCCCCTTTGCCATTGGCCTTAGTATTGCTGAGAGGGTCTATGTCCCCCGGGGTACTGCCGGAACGTACCGTACCCTGGGTACGGTCCGGTATACCGGAACGTACCCTGGTACTATCTAATATG